TCTTCAGATTTTTCTGGGTTATGGCTAGTCTTCTTTTTTCCTAAGCCTTGAGCCTTCTACCAATTTCTTCTTCGACTTCTTGGTGCTGCCTCTTCTTCAGCCCAGTCTTCTGTTCATTAGTGCCAACCGTAGGTATTCCTGGAACTTCTCAGCATCCAGATCATCGATGAATTTCCTTACTTGATTTCGCTTGGCCTTGATGACATCAATTATTCTGGACACATAAGCATTTGGCGCAAGCTTCTGTTTTACACAAAATTCACCGATGATGCTTTCAGCTAACATGGTGGGCTGCCTCACCGATGATGCTTTCAGCTAACATGGTGGGCTGCCTCACCGATATAAACACTAACTTAGAAGAAACCCCTACCAATGTGAAGAACTTTTTATACTGCCGGCTTAACACTTCCAGAATCCTTTTTGTCGAAATATGATTTCATTAGCGGGGGCAATCAATAGGGGCTCTATCACTTTATTCGGCAATTGATTTTCCAAAGAAGTCCTCCTTGGTGACGAAAATAGACAAGGAGTTCCCGGTAAGTACTTTGACGATGTTTCTTGTGTCGATGAGGTCTTTTTTTTTTTTGTATTTTGTGTGGGGCCGAAGGTATCCATCCAAGACCCTGATGGTATCTTTCCTATGAGTCGCAGTACTTGCATCTCGATAGCGGCTTCTTCCGTAAATACGTGCTGCAACCTGATTTTATTTGTCGAGGCAAGTCCTAAGACAACTTGTTTACACTGTCCGAAAATGGGAAAGTAAGTTGCACCTAAATGGAAAAATTACATGCAACCGATTCCCTCGGAATCTAATGATTAAAGACAATTAAATAAAGGTCCTCATTGCGTTAATAAGTTCTCATTGATCACTGAATGTGAGGGAATTCATAACCAAAATAATTCACCATGATAGGCACTCACTCACACTGGAAGATATCGTAGCGCAGGTGTCACATTCCCTCAGGACCTTCCTCGTCTTTGTTGCAATTGTTTCCAGTGGATGTGAATTGCAGCACAACGCCACAAGTTTAGCCTACCACTTTTTTCTGATGACGAAACTGCTAAATGGTTGACGAAGACCCGCTTTGTTAAGCAGCATTTGATTTTCGAAATTATGTATTTCAAACTGGCATCAACACTTATACCAGTAGACAGTGAGGCCTCTTTAGCCAAGTTGTTGGTGCAGTCACAAATCTGCTGATTGTAGTCCATCATAGCCCCTCCAGGAAGATGGAACTACCACACAGTTCACGTGGTTTCAATCTTGTGTCGTTGAATCGAAAGCTAAAGTGCAGTTTTCTGCATTTTTGCATTGCACTGAACATCTTGGCATCTGAAACGAAAACAAACCATCGCACCATTCTGTAAACTGTTGTTGAACTTTTGTTCAAAGAGTAATGTTCCATGGACAATGTTTTCGAAATAGTTTTTATCACTTCTGAAACACAAAAAGCAGGGACTCCCCCTCTAAAAGATAGTCATAATGAAGTTTCCTGCTAACTAAAACATTGGAACTGTTTGGCTTTTTTTTTCCTTTTGTATTTGTTTAATTTTTTTTACATTATTATCATTTTCTTTGTTTGTTTTTTTTTTTTTGCCAATTGTTATTTTAGGATTATTACTTTGCAACAAAGAGTAGATGATAAACACTGGGTAGAATTTGTAGACAGTGTTGGATTTGAAAACGAAAGGGTTTCAATTGCAGAAGACAGGGTTTCAATTGCAGCAGACAGGTTTGCAACAGACTGGGTTGCAGTAGACAAGGTTGCAGCAAAAAGGGTTGCAGCGGCAGCGGACAGAGTTGCAGCATATTAGACTTGCAGCAAAAAGACTTGCACTTGCAGTAGACAGGGTTGCACTTGCAGCAGACAGGGCAGTAGATGCAGCAGACGGAGTTGTAGTAGCAACTGAGGTGGCGGTCAAAGGGGCAATATAAGGTGTGACAATAGCAAATCTAGCAACAGATTTTACTTCTTTTTTTTTTTCAAATTCAGAGAAAATTATCCCCGCATTTCTTTTTCTGTAGAATGCTCAAAGTTTACCAACTGAATTATATGAAACTGGATGAAAACCACTTATGGAATTCTACAGAGAAGCCCATCCTGCTATTGCCTTTAATGATCCATATTTGTTGAGAAATTTCTCAAAAATATGGCCACAAAGAATCGTTTGTCCACTGTTGATGCATCTGTATTCTCTCAATATTTCGTAAGCTCTCACCATCTAAAATTTAAAAAATTAAAATAAATATTAGTAAGCAAGAACACATTGACCTGGAAAAGTTTTTTGTTGTAATTAAAATATTATTTAATCTTTAATAGTTAATAAAATTTGGTTAACAGTAGCTAAAGAACATTTATTCTCTTTTCTTTAATACAAAAATTGTGAACACCCGGTGTTGAAACTATTCAAAATTAATTAAAAAAAATGACATAACCAATTTCAAACGGGAATGAAATTAAGTATAGAAATAATCAAATTTATTAAACATTAGGTTTAAATTTTAATAAAACATTATACAAACGGATTTCTTTTTATCAAAATAACTATCACAAAAAAGAATAAACTAATAAAAAGTATAAACCTACTAACAAAAAAAAAATTCTTTTCTTCTTTCTTAAAACAGTTAAACTAAAAAAATGTACTCAATTGAAGTATGACCTTCACTAAAATAAGTACATAAAATAAAAATATTTAGTGAAATAGAAATTAAAAAAAAGTATATCTTACTTTAAATTTCAAAAGTTTTAAAACTTTGAAAAATGATGCGCCAAGACTGTTGAGACGTAAACCTGCAATGAATAACGAATTGCAAACAAACGAATTTCTCTGTAAAATGAGAAAAACTCTTATATTACGGAATTTTTAATAATAATATTATGTATCGACTACCATACTTGCAAATTGGGAATGTTTAAAATAAATAAAAAATTTTAATAGTTTTTAAAATCTTTGTGCAAAATGACTAATATTAAGCGTCTCAATTTTTGATTTGTAAATAAAGGAAGTAATGCAGAATTTTAAATGATTTTTAAATTATTATAAATCATTATTATAGTGTCTTTAATATATTTTATTTATAAAAGCAATTAAAGCTTTTCTAATTAAATCATGTCATAGTTTGATTACATTTCTGATTTACATTCAACTTTTCTCCTACTTTTAACTAATAATATACTTTTGGTAAAGAAAATTTGATTTCTCGAAATTTCATGAAATTAGTTAAGTGTGTGTGTGGGGGGTAACATATGTAAAAAAAATACCAAGTTTTTTAAAACAAAAATTTAAAAAATAATATCATTCATTTGTGAATAAGTCCTGAAAGTTTCATAAAAATCCGACGATTATTTAATTTTTGCAAGAATTCCTAAATCAACGTGTTTTTCACCGGAAAAAACGCAAAAACACTGAATGTTATTATTACAACAATCGCTGACACAAAATAAAAGTCCTAAAATTTTTAACCAAAATTTCGAACGTGCTAGAAATGAATAAAAAAAAATTAAATAATTAAAAATAACTTGGTCTTTCCTCTTAATAATAACATAAACAGTTTGACGATAAAAAACTGCTTTTTATTAAGTTTAAAGCCTTTTTTTTCATTATGCTGTGCTTATTTTTTCAGCGAGCAAGTGGAGATACCTACTTTAAGTTAATGATTGAATAAGCTCACGGCTATCTGCGACAATAAAATATACATAGAAATTCCCATATCGTAGCGTTAAATATTTGAGTTTAACAACTTTAACAATATATTGCAATAGCAATCATAAATATGAATGCACGGCGCCTGAGGCGTCTCCAAAAGGGAAAGTGTGGAGGGCATTTAGGTATTTTTTCCATGATATTGCCGTTAAACCCACCTTAAATTGACTCTGTGTCACATTCGATAGGTAGCGACTGAGGACTCTGAAAAATACTCATAAATACATAAATTCTGGTTGTTATTTTAGGATGTGGGTAGAAATGAAAAGATTTTACATTGACAACATTTTCCATCTCACTGAAACAATCGTTAAACAATTCAATCTTCCCTTCTTTCTTTATTTTATTTTCTCAAGATTTATTGCATAAAAATATACCATGACCGAAAAAAGATGGGGTATGCTGAGGTTGATATTCATTGCTATCCTATACTTAGCTAATCCGATTCGCGACCCATTCACTTGTTACAGTTTAACAAATTCATCAAAAGAACCTTTCCGATATCAATTAATCCTCGATTCACCATAATATTTCACACACTCGAGGGATCTACAAAAACGCACCCCATGACATGAAAAATTTGAAAAGTTCATGATTTTTTCTCTCTCTTTTTATAAAATAATATGTACAAAAAAGTTTACAAATGACTCCGGACGAGAGATAATCCCCAAAAAGCAAAACTAAAATATAAAAACAAAAGAAACAAAACTGATGTTAGTCAGAACCCGTCCACCCCTGAAATCAAGTAGGGACTTTTCCCATTTTTCCATGCGATCAAAACGGAATAGTTCATTATTTATGAGGTATTGGCAGGCGAAGCGTTTAACACTTTTATCTCCTATTTATTTATTTATTTTTCTCAAGATTTATTGCAGAAAAATATACTATTGTGGCACAAGGCAAAAAAATGGTGGCGAATGCTGAGGCTGGTCATAACTGCTATCCTATACTTAGCTAATCCTATTCGAGACCCATTCACTCGTTACAATTTAACACATTCATAAAAAAAAACCTGAGCGTCATTCACCATAATATTTCATACACTCAGAGGACCTACAAAAACCTACCTCATGACATGAAAAATTTGAAACGATCATGATTTTTTTCTCTTTGTTTTAAAAAATTATATATACATAAAACTTTACAAATGATGAGGGGCAAGGGATGATTCCCAAAAAGCAAAACTAAAATAAAAAAAAAACAAAAGAAACAAAGCTGATATTAGTTGGGACTCGCCCAGGCCTGAAATCATGCGATCAAAACGGAATAGTCTATTATTTATGAGGTATAGGCAGGGGAAGCGTTTAACGCTTTTCTTTTTTCTTTTCTTTTCTTTTTTTTTCTTTTCCTTTCTTTCTTTCTTTCTTTCTTTCTTTCTTTCTTTCTTTCTTTCTTTCTTTCCAAATTAACGTTTTAAGAACATTTCTCTAAATAATAACTTGAAAATAATTCAGCAGACGATGGTATTTCATTTAATTTATGGTAATTCCATTTTGGTTTGTCTTACTCTGTTTCCGTCGTTCGATACTGTGCCTCTGAAAAATGGCAATTTTTTAACTGTCGCCATTCCTTCTCGACATTTTCAGAGGTCCGAGAGGGTTAAATATTTAAGCCCAAGCCCGAGCCCCCCCTCAAGCAGTATCTCTCCTTGGAGAGGGGGGTCTTCGTTTATTGCCCTACGCCTGAAGCGTCCCCAAAAGGGGAAATATGATGTAATGAATATGGATACACCTGTGTTCTCCCTGACAGGAATATGATTGGCTGGTGTCAGCCATAAATACAGGCTGATGTAGAGGTACAGACGACGCCCATTGGACTAGGCCATTGGCTATCCTATTGGTCTACGTCTATTGCCTACACCTATTGACTGCGACTACGACGAGTACCAGTTCCATTACTGCTACCTGCTAGGTTGTTCTACTCGATTACAATAGCCTAAACCACTTAGCTTTTTCGATCAAATATATCCCTTTCCGGGACATATCAAAATGCAGAGGAGGCTTGCCTAATTTTTTCCAAAGTATTGCCGGTAAACCTAATCTAAATTTTGACATTATGCCACATTCGGTAGAAACGTGGGCGCGCTGAAAAATGCAATTGCTTCTCGGCCTTTTTATCTTAGATCAAAGTGTAGTATCTGTTATCATCAACCGAACCTGAATATCTCTCTCCACTTCGATCTTCGCTTCTTTTTTTTATTTTCTCACTGAAACCAAGTAATGTATTCCCCCCCTTTGCAATAGTCCATTATTTATGAGGTAATAACAGGACGTAACGGTCGTGCTGGGTAATGGGACGAAATATAAAATGTCAAGTTCTCTTGTTGAATGTGTTAAATTGTAACGAGTGAATGGGATGCGAATCGGATTAGCTAGGTTTCGGATAGTAGTGATGACCAGCCTCAGTATACCTCGACTTTTTCGGCCTTGTGCCACAATAGTATATTTTTATGCAATAAATCTTGAGAGTGAGAGCCAATAGCTGGCTGCCATGAATAGGCAGGAAGATTCTATTAGCCAGAGTCAGAGCCAACAGCTGACTGACACGAATGTTAACTAGCATGCTAGCATGCAAAAAAAATCGATAGCTTCATTTGTCACAAGTGGGAAAAATTTAAATCTGCATAGCACTTTACTCCAGTTGGCTCATTCGCTTGCTTAAACTCAACGTTGATTCTGATTCCGCAGAACTGGGTTGAGTGTTGAAAAGTATTTGTTGTTAACATTCTTTTTTCATTTGGTTTTTCCAGTTACGAGTCCTTTTTTAAAGCTGATCGTTTTGTGTTCATTTTGTTTAGTTCTTTTAATGTTTAGTATAGAGCTTCGAAAAAAATCGCGGTGTGAGATAGGCAAGAAATAAGACATGTAGCAACATCAGCACGGCAAAGGGCACTCCTTTAAAGGAAGGGCAAAAATATTTTAAGTCAAGTGATAGCGATTACTGTATGAGTCATTCGATTTTTGAATCAAGCCCGGGCAACGCCGGGCCATGTTGCTAGTAAGAGATAAAAGTGTTAAACGCTTCCCCCTGCCAATACCCCATAAATATTCCGTTTTGATTACATGGAAAGAGGGGGAAAGACCCTACTTGATTTCAGGGGTGGACGGGTTCCAACTAACATCAGTTTTGTTTCTTTTGTTTTTATATTTTAGTGGCGATTTTTAAGTGAATTTCAAATACAATAATTACATGTTTATACATAGATTTATTCAACCACATATGTGTCATTTGGTTCCACTAACTTTCGCCATTTTTAAGAAAACTTCATTATTACGTTATCCCAGATCTTGGTGAGGAACTGGTTCAAGTGGTCTTTATAAAGTTCCAGAAAAGTGAAGTTTTATAATTGAAGTTGATAATTTTTTAGGAAACGATAACCAGTGTAATAAGACATCCTAGTCAAGCAGTAACGTGTCTGCTAAGAGACGTGATGACTGGCGTTGGAAAACTGGACTTTTATGATTGAACAATTCCGGACGTTTCTGCTGCAATTAATCGGTCCAACTAGGAACATCACTTGTCTGGAACCAACGCCTAGTTTTATGGCGGGCGTTCATCATCCATAGTGACTTTCAAATCCTTCCAGATACACAGCATAACCGTTTTCGGATGAAAACAGTATTTTTTTTTTTATCGAGTGGTTAACAAGAAAACTCTTGCTCTTTATTGTTGCAAGCAGTCTATATTTTTCATCGTTTGTGACCGTTCTTTTTAAAATGAGGTCTTTAAGGCAGACAGAAACGTGACCGATTAATTTTTTTTTGTTTCTGTTAAATTAAACATCCAAAGATCTTAACGATTCACGAATCCATTTTTAAAAAAATATCTTGCAACGTAGAGGCCCACTTGAACATGGTGTAATGGTAAGCAATCTTGTCTCGCTTGATCAATTACGAGTGAGTTCGATCCTCTTTGGGTGCTCCGTTCTTTATGCCTTGTGTCATATGTAGACTGCGCTGAGCAAACCACAGTAAGATAGGTACAATGCTTCTGCGATGTCGTATGACCTGCGTTAGTTTTAAACCGAATTTCGACTTGAAAATCAGCGGACGTTGAAATCAAAATGTCTACAACTGAGCCTTAAGAATATTTAAGGTACCATATCCATAAACGGTAGATATTTTTTCCAGTATTTTTCTCAGCATCAATTGTAGATTTTGCATCTCGTTTGCCTTTATTTTCACTTCTTAAAACAGAGAGTGCGTAACATTCACCATTCACACGTGAACCGTATTGAATGACGCGTTAAAATGTATCATTTCAGTATAAAGTAGTGTAGTGACATATGTGCACTGGAAGATATGCAAGAAGCACAAAATCGAAACCACTGAGAAATGGTATAAGCACCAACCAGATACAAATGCCCCAAAATAACGATGTAACTATCCTCTGGGATCTGCCAATTCAAACTGACAGGGAAAGAAAAACTAACAAACCCGATATTATCATAAAAGTCAAGAAATACAGGAACTGCATGCTTATTGACATAGCAATAACATCTGAGAGAAACACCTCCATGCTAATTATTGAGGCATTGCCCAAATACAAGGACCTGGAGATCGAGATTAACAGGGTGTGAGGAATGAAGACTGAGACCGTACCAATAGTAATCGGAGCACTGGGCCTCGTGAGAAAAGGAATGGACAATTTTACTAAAAGGTATCGTTTCAGGGTGTGTATATATGTCATAAATTTCAATCAAGTGTGAAACGAAATGAGAATAATTTGTAGCATTTTTCAAAATGAGTCGTTTACCCCAAATTGAAAAACATTACAAATAATAAATGCCACAATCTACAACAACTTTTACTTTTTCACTCGTGGGTAAATTGGAGGTGTTTACATGTGCCTTTCAAGATCTTCAAAAAACTATCAAAATACAAGTATCTTGAAATGGAAATCTCAAAAATGTGGCACATGAGGACATCAATAATTCCAGGTGTAGTCGGAGCACTCGGATTAATTGGAAAAGGTTCCGAGACATTCATTGAAGGGTTTCCTGGTAGCCCATGTCTTAAAGAAATATATATAAAAAAAATGTACTCACTAGTTCAGCTCACACATTACGAGGAGCTTTATCTATGTAAAATGATCAGTGGAAAATGTCATGCATTCATTTCTGATCTTAGGTCACTGGTTGGGAGCCGGAATGAAATGTGTATACAACAGAAATCAAAGGAAATAATAATAATAATAATAATAATAATAATAATAATAATAATCCTCTTCGGAAAAAGAATTGAAATCGTAAATCACATAATTTGTGTAAGTAGTAAGTTCACCGGGAAAAATCTAAAGCAGACACACGCCAAATGAGAAACAGTAATACACATGAAAATTTATAAACGATCTTTTTTACCATGTGGACGAATGTTATCAACACAAAACATATGGCGAAGGCCATCAAATTTTGTAAAATTGTTGAAAAAAAAACCCCAAAAACAAACAACGATAGACGAAATACTTATACAAAAATTTCGTAAATTTATTTGCATTCTAAAATATTCATAAACAGTGGTATAATGCTATCGAAGCAAGATATGAAATATCTTCAATTATCTGACGATCTTATGACAAATAATTTTTTTTTTTTTTTTTTTCATTTCTATCTGTGAACATTTATAAAATACTCTTCTTTTGTGTGTGTGAAATTTTAATACGCGGGGTAATGTTCACGTTGAAAGCATATATAGGCATGTATCAGCATTAGAGGAAGCAGTAACAGTCTCTGTAATACAGTCAGATTTGAATACAACTGAGGATAATATAAATTGGATAGTTATTTTAAACAATTATGATAATAAAAAAATACAATGAAAGGGAATAAAATATGAGATCTGTATTGATTCGACTCACAGCTGAATAAAATCGAAAATGGTTAATCGATAAAGTTACGAAACGAACGAATATCTTTTTTTTTTTTACCGAAGCGTGAATAAGTTATTGCAATTTATAGAAAATTATCACCGCAAAACTTGGAGTAAAAATTAACAATTACTTCCATTAAATAATATTACTTATAAAATATACGCCGCTCTTTCCCATTTACTCACCCTCCAGCTATAGATTTTGTCAGTTTTCCGAGTCTTATTCTAGAATGTCTATGTGTGCCGTTTTTCTTCTATTCATGATTGTCTATACAAGGAATACATAAACCGTCGAAGGAAAATTTGCAATACCATTGCTTTATTCCGGTTCAATATCCAATAAGTATGTGTGCACGTTCACCCGCTTCTACATGACTCGGATAGCAACCACTTAAGAGAGAGACAGAAAACTCTATGTTCAAAATTGGTTGAGCATCAGGCGAGCAGTCTTCACCCATTAAAACTCACCATCTACTGAGACGATATCTGAATAACCTATTACGGTGTCACTTTTCTGTTAATATATTTATAATTTAATATTT